CTTCAGAAATCATTCCAATATGCTGATTTGCTGCTTAAGAAACAATTCTTAATATTATTAATATTGAAAATAGTTGCACTGTTTAATGCTTTTTGTGGGAACCGTGCTACATTTTTTTTTTTTTGAGATTCTTTAATGAGTAGAAAGTTTCAAAAGAACAGCATTTATTTGAAATGTACATATTTTGTAACATTTTAAATGTCTTCTTGTTACTTTTATGCAATTGAATGCCCCTTACTGAATAGAAGTATTTAATAAATAAATAAATAAAGTATGTTACTGGCCACAAACCTTTCTCTCATAGAGGATACATTTCCATGAAGAATAATTATAAGGAATCAGCAAGGATGTGTCAACTTCCCAAAAGCATTTCATATCAATGCCCTGCTCATAAACACATACTTTCAGTAAGACAGAGGACACACCCACATTTCAAACATTTCAAAAGCAGGCTTGAAAAAAATCACCATAAATACAATGACAGGTGATCACAGCACTCAAAATCACCTGCATAATACATGCTGCTCATGTTTACATGCCTCAAACTGACTGGCACATGGGACGTGTTGCTGTAGACATTCAAACACATCAGACTATGTGAAAATCACACAGCACAGGTAATGTGGTTTGCTCTTTCAGGCTCATACATGCGGTTGTTTTGCTGATGTGACGCACAGCGCTGCATTGTGAGTGGTAATCTGCGCATCCATGTGGGATTTAGTGTCTTACTTGCAGCTCTTCAAACTTTGCGTTGTGGAGGCAAGCCTGAGCGTTTCCCTCCTTTTTTCATTATGGAATGAGGATCAGTGTGATTATAGTTTTTAAACATCAGAGGTATACTTATGTAATGAAGAGGAGAATGAGCCTGTACTTTTTATGTTCTAATGTTCACCGTCACACATCTGAAATGTCAAAAACGTGCTCGGAACTGATTCTAAGTGAAATTTCAACTTGAATAACATGTTTTTTGTCTGGGTCCAGATAACCCCAAACAGAATTATCCATCTATCCATCCGTTTTCTATGTAGGGTCACAAACAGAAACAATGTTAATTGATAACTGTCACATTTCTAAATTTATACCTACTTTGTCTAAAAGTCTAAAAGCTTCAATAATATCTGTCCGGTGAGTTTTTATTGGGTCGTAGAACAAAGAAAAAAAATGTGAAGGAAAACTGAAGAGTTACTGTGATTATTATGGTTACTATTTACACATAAATCAACTGAATCTCTAGAACTCCAATTAAGTCAATCTTATGTCAATAACATGAGGGCTGAATCTGCACTGTGCCTTACATCTTCATCTGAAGAAGTCACTCTAACAAACTCTGACAAATAGAAAAAATAGTAACAGTCATAAATTACCACAGATCATTTCATATCATTTTTACAGTCTTATTAAAACAGATTACCAAAACAGACTGAACTGAGAGTAACTATATTTGATTATGTCTGTAATACAGACAGAAGACACTGTGAATAAGAGTGCCATCTTGTGTTCAGTCTTCTACAGTGTACTTAAAATTAGATTTTCGAATATATATATTTTTAATGCATACTGTAGTATATTAAAAATATATTTTATTAAAGTATTTTAAAATGTATTTTAGTATATTTTTATAACATATTTAAAAACTGGTTTTAGAAAAATGACCGCATCAAAGCTCACAAATTCTAAAAAAAATAATAATAATAATCATTTTTGTACAGTGAGCACAGAATGGCACATTTGACCAATCAGAATCAAGTATTCCACATGTAACCTGATACTTATGACTAGACAACATTGAGTGTTTAATGTATTTTTCAAATATAAATGTAGCTTAATTAGTTTCCCCTGTATTTGTAGTGACAAAAAGTTAAATGCCTCTGATTGACAAGATCTGAGACTTGTTTGTTTCTGTAAATATGAAATGTTGTGTGAAGATTGTTTTCTGTCGTTTAGGATGTGTGTATGAGTTGAGATAGAGCTCAGGCCAGTGATGGAGGCAGGACTGAACTGCAGCTCTCACTGTGAGTCTGGCGTCTGCTTCATCTATCCAGGAGTGAACAGCCAGCAGGGCTGGGACGTCCTGCAGAGACTCTGTGCGCTCTCAGCGGTACATTCACACACACTCACCCCCGTCCACCACCGTACACTCGAAACAATCACAATTACATTCACAAACAGTGGGATCCACAAGTTTGAGCGAGGCCACTAGTGAAAACGCTTTTATTTTGTATTTTTCTTATTTAAAGTAATGAATGACGTTCTTTTCAACTTTCGATTCATCAAAGAATCTTGAAAAAATGTATCACAGTTTCCACAAAAATATTTAGCAGCACAACTTGTTTTTAACATTATAATAATAAATATTTCTTGAGCAGCAAATCAGCATATTAGGCGTCTGCTTCATCTATCCAGGAGTGAACAGCCAGCAGGGCTGGGACGTCCTGCAGAGACTCTGTGCGCTCTCAGCGGTACATTCACACACACTCACCCCCGTCCACCACCGTACACTCGAGACAATCACAATTACATTCACAAACAGTGGGATCCACAAGTTTGAGCGAGGCCACTAGTGAAAACACTTTTATTTTGTATTTTTCTTATTTAAAGTAATGAATGACGTTCTTTTCAACTTTCGATTCATCAAAGAATCTTGAAAAAATGTATCACAGTTTCCACAAAAATATTAAGCAGCACAACTGTTTAGCAGCACAACTTGTTTTTAACATTATAATAATAAATATTTCTTGAGCAGCAAATCAGCATATTAGAATGATTTCTGAAGGATCATGTGACACTGAAGTGGAGTAATGATGCTGAGAATGCAGCTTTGCCATTGCAGGAATAAATTACATTTTAAAATATATTTACATAGAAAAAAGTGTTTTTTAAATTGTAATAATATTTAACAATATTACTGTCATTACTGTATTTTTGATCAAATAAATGCAGCCTTGGTAAGCATAAGAAACTTTAAAGAACATAATCATACCAAACCCAAATGGTAGTGTATACATTCAGTATATTGTGCTGTTTGTCTGTGTCTAGAGGGGTGTGGATGTACAGAGTCGATCGCTGTCTCCTGCTTGCAGGAATAAATTACATTTTAAAATATATTTACATAGAAAACAGTGTTTTTTCAAATTGTAATAATATTTAACAATATTACTGTCATTACTGTATTTTGATCAAGTAAATGCAGCCTTGGTAAGCATAAGAAACTTTAAAGAACATAATCATACCAAACCCAAATGGTAGTGTATACATTCAGTATATTGTGCTGTTTGTCTGTGTCTAGAGGGGTGTGGATGTACAGAGTCGATCGCTGTCTCCTGCTCTTCGTGCTGGAGTCTGGACGCTGCTCTCTTGTGGGATTCTGCTGGCGCTCTTCTTCCTCATTTTCACTCTGCGCTTCAAAAACAACAGGTACAGGATCTCTGGATCTCAAACATGATTTTATTGCTTTACAGGTGGTCTTTTTGTCCAATGACTATGGCTGCCAACATGAATTTTGATTATGTACCTCTGACACAGGATAGTGAAGATGTCCAGTCCCAATCTGAATGTGTTGACTCTCTGTGGCAGTGTACTCACATACAGCAGCGGCTTCTTATTCGCCTTGGAGGAGAGAGCACCGCTGTCAGGAGCAGGATCAAGAGCTTTCTTACAGGTACAAACACACACACACACACACAAGGTTATTTAGGTAGACTGATGGAGTTGACGTTCAAAAACTAAGACCCTCTTCTCTATGTACCTGCCTATATGTAAGTATAACTAAAGCAGTCCTATAAATCACACAGCTGGCTTATTGCTCTGAATTGCTAAATGGCTGTTTACATTTTACAACACCATAAACCTC